AAAAAAAAAAAAAAAAAAAAAAAAAAAAAAAAAAAAAAAAAAGAGTAAAGGGGTGTTGAATAAGTTTGACTAATTCAAGCCCCTTTCACATAGGTGGGCCAAAAGTAGAAATACAGAAAAAATGTGGGAAAAATTAGAATAAATTAATATTATTAATTGTGTTTTCTAAAAAAATTACTTTAATAATTACGTAATGATATGCTTATAATTAATGAAGGTCTAAATTTACAGGTATTTCATTATATTAATGAAAACCAACGCTCGAATTTATAAATTCTATTTTTAAAAAAATTTAATTTAAGTTCGTAAAAATTTATAAATTTATTAATTAATTAAATTTCTGAATTATCTCGTCAATCTTATTAGTTGGCGTCTCCACTAGCTATATAGGACGAAGTATGATACTCAACTAAGAGTGGCCAACAGTAACTAGAGCATACTTTGTTTGAAGGATGACAAGACAGTTAGACTTAAGGGAAGGAAGTCATGTCTGACAATTATGGGCTCGTTGTCGACAAAGAGGATTCAACTAGTGATGCTAGCTTCTGAAAGAGTGAGTGACCCAATTTAGAAATCATTCTCGATAAGTAGGGTGAGTATAAATATAAAAACAATAACTAGGATGAGTATAAAAATACTCGATAAGTAGTCTGCTTGTAGGTTCTTCATTATATTCATGTATGTTCATGAAAATTCATTCTCTTGATCATGTAGGTTGAGTTCTTAAGTTGTTTGTATCTAAGTCCTTGTTCTATTTACTCATGTGATCGTCACCCCTCTCTAGGTGGGTTTACAGAGCGCTAGTCCTACATGGAAGCCCACGACCGTTCCCACACACAATACATAGTCAATCCGAGTCCCACGTACCCATGTGGTCCCTCATCCATCTCAAGGTAAGTCTACAAAACATGAGTTCTGTATGGAAATTGATGTCCATTTCCAAACTTAATACTTAATCATAAATCTTAAATTTGTGACACTTCCCTAACTAGACCAATTTACGTCACATGATCAGTACGAAATAATGAAGCTATAAATCTAAGCAAGCATCACACTAATCAAGAGCTCACGATATACAAAAAGGATAGGAAGATCTTAGGCGACTTAGAGCATAGTTAGGCTATAGTCCATCTCGTGAGGTGGTACTTAGCTAATAGGGTGTTGTGTTGGGTCGGGTTCAGGGTTTTAGAGGTGCTTATTCATGAAATCGAGCTAACAAGCATGCTCTAAGCTTAGAGAAAGAGAATAAAACTTAAGTCCATGAACGAGTCTCTAAGAAATTCAACTTAAGTACGTATCGCCCAAGAGTACAACACGATGTTTAAATTCATTTATAAGTGCCTTAATTTGAACATCGTTGAGTGTCTGTTACGAGTGTTTCCCACTAAGCATCCTTTTTGTATTGGTCGAACAAGTTTGAATTCTACACGATCAATGTTCGGTTGGCGAAGACAAACCTCACTTAAGGTCCAACAAAACCACAAATCATAGCAAAAAATGGCTATAAGGTTTGGGTTCCTCAAGTATGGTTGTGAGCGTGTCAAGATTACGACGCCACTAACCCACGTAAAAAAGCTTACCTTCATGTTAGGGATGTTAAAATGGAACCTCGATCGGTTGCATATATCCAATCTTATTACATAAATGTCAAATAGATTCCTAAATTGATGTTGTTTAATGGAAACCTAAATTTATGAAGATGCTGTTTTTTAATTTTGAAACCAACTTATAATTTATAATTTATAGTACAAATTCAATAAGGTAATTAAAAATTTTAAATGTTTAAATAATAAATAAATACATTATTGGTCAAAACACTAAATTTATTATTATTATTTTTTAGAGTACATTATAAAAAATAAAATAAAAATAAAAAACTATACAAAGCCCAAAGCACATTTTATTATGCCGCCGAGATTCATCGTAAAATGCAAAAAATAATAAACAAATAAAAACTAAATAATTAATTTATGGCCGACATGTCGGATTTCAGGTCATCGGTTTTCCTTTTCCCCTCCCGCTTCCGTACGCTTCCTTGCAAACAGCGTTCGGCTTCTGCGACGGAGCGCACAGGTGAGACGACTGTGGACATCCCTGCAGACAATTATCCCCCAAGCTACCGGAGACCGGATCACCGCCGAAGAAGAACTCCGCCGGCGGCTTCCCCGTCAGGAAGTTCCCATCCAAGTACAACCTCTTCATCGTCTTCATCTGGCTGAACTCCAATGGGATCGTCCCACGTAACCGATTGTACCGGAGCGACAGCGCCGACAGCGCCGGATAGCTCGCGAAATTCACTGGCACGTTCCCCTCGATTCTATTGAACCCCAAATCGACGGCAACGAGGTCACTGCCCGTAGCGGCAGCAGGGGAGATCTCGACACGCGTCAGGCTGTTATTAGCCAAATTAATCTGCTGGACGGATGGGAGGAGGAAGAACCAAGCCGGCGAGGTTCCAGCGAGCGAGTTTTCACTGAGTTCGATGACCTCCAACTGAGTCGACTCGAGAAAAGACGATTTCTCCAAATACCCAGAAAGGGAATTTCGTTTTAAAGCGAGTTCGAGTAAGTTCGGCGGGAGTTTTGGAATGGAGCCGGTGAGTCGATTGAAGCTGAGATCGAGGCGTCGTAAAGCAGAGAGGAAAACCAGAGATTTGGGGAGATTTCCGGCGAGGGAATTGTGAGAGAGATCCAAGGATTCGAGGGATTTAAGGTTGGAAATTGAGGGTGGGATCGCTCCGGTGAAGGAATTGGAACGGAGAATGAGGATTTGGAGATTGGAGAGAGAGGAAATGGCAGAGGGGATGAGACCGGAGAAGGAGTTGTCGGCGAGGTCGAGAACGGTCAATTGAGTGAGGCGAGAGAGGAGTGGGGAGAGAGTGCCGGAATAGCCGGCGGGATCGAGGGTGAGTTGGGTTATGCGAGTGGCGGCAGGGTTGCAGAGGAGGCCGCAGGAGAAGGAGGTGCGGCGGGGGAGGGCGCAGGGATCGACGGAGAAATTCCAGGAGGCGAGACAGGACCAAGGGGGGATGGAAGAGGGTTTGATGGCGGATTTGAAGGATTTGAGGGCGGAGAGATCGGAGGGGGAGGTGAGAGAATGAGCGAGGGAGGAGAGAGAGAGGAGGAGGAGGAGGAGAGAGAAGATTTTCATGGCGGAACGGTGGGGTTAAGAAGTGGGTTTTGAATGGTGAAGAGGAAAGGGAAGGGGGAAGGCATTCATTTGAAGTGTGGACATTGGGAGCGGAAGTTGAGGCCATCTTGCAAGCTGCGCTAACAGATATTTTATTCTATTACTCCTATTCAATTTGGGTCCCACTCACACCCTCTTATTTTTATTTATTTTTTTAATTTCCATTTATTTTTATGAATACTTCTTTTTTAATCAGGGTCACGAGTCTAAATGTTAGGGGTGTGCATTCCACTTGACAATTCAGATCAACCCAATTCGAACTTTAATAGTTGGGTTGGGTTGGATTAACATTTTGAGTAGGATTAGGTTCTTTTTTCTGAATCCAAACTAAATTGGTTCGATTTCAGATTCGTGCCACAAAACCTTTAAATTGTCCTAAGTCAAATAATAATATTTAAAATATTATTGAGAGTCATCGGTAGTTTCTTTTATTTATATATATATATATATATATATACTTTTTACTTTCCCTCGGTAATTATTTGAGGAAAAATAAAATGTATACCATTAATGATATAAACTCGATTGAAAAAGGTCTATGTATTCGTAGAATAAATAGCTCTAACTTTCTAGAAGAATCCGAATGAACACAGAAAAACTACCGATTGGGAGAATGTGGATAAGTTGGTTAAATTCATGTGTTCTAGCTTCAATTTTTCTTAAAAATTGCTAAAACTTGTTCCAATGAACAATAGATTAGATCTTGACGTTTGGTGAAGGGATGAACTTCAACCAAAGCATAGAACATGTGAGTTGAGGACGAAACTAAACCACTAGAGCTAGCTACATGAGCGTTTATTCCCGGTTTTTGCCCAATTTTTATTGTTTTAAATACGATTTTTTAAATCCATTTTCACCGATAAATATGCCTTAATTTTGATATATATATATATATATATATATATATATATATAAATCTCTTCACGCTCCTTCCCACAAGTTATAAAATTATTATTGATTTTCTAGACTTGAACCAATAGAGACCATTACTCAAAAACAAGCTTTTAATGTTTTATAATTTAAAAAGTAATTATAAAGGGAATAAGCAACATATAATCCACATATTAATCTCATACATACATATCTATCAATTTTAAAAGTCAAAACATTTAGCATCGAAGAGGAATTCCTTACTCGATTGTGTAACAACCCTAGATTTCTAGTAATCTAAGTCGCTGTCATCATCATAATCTATGCTCTTATGCAGAATTAAACATTTAAAACTTCATCTTAAAACATAAAGTTCAACTTAAAATACTTTCATGAACTTACATGTTCGAAAGCGTATTTAAAACAAGATAAATACAATACTAAATAAAGCAAGTAAAACATTGAATGTAAAACACCCTATCCTAACTTAAGTCTAAGAAAAAACAATACTACTATCTTATGTACTGTCATGGTCTCTGATTGCAATGTCATAGTCGGCCGTACAAGTAACACACAACTTGATTATTTTAAGAAACTACTCAGTAAGTGACCCCGTTATTGGGGTCGAAGGAATGCAAACACATGCAATTCATGACCTAGGGGACCTATCGTTAAAACCATCATAGGGGTGGCCCTCTAGTTTGAATAAAATTTGATGTGTAGTACTTTCCTACACACGACCCACACATGCGAGCGTGGATTCCCAGGCGATTCACACCCCCCTGGACCCATCATAGTCGAGTTAGTTGTCTGTAGTGACGTTCGGAGGTCAGTAGACATCTAAATGTCATGGGAGCCCCGATCATCATCATCATTATTGTAATGTACGCGACCGTACTCATCATCATAAAAGGGTAAGTAGCGCGATGTATATGTACACGCATAATGCACGACATTTGGATATCATCTTTAAAACATCTTTGTGACACAACCCTAAATTCTGTCCACATATTACTATAAATAATACGCATGCATTGGTGTTCATAGGTTCATCATCATTAACATTAACTAGAGTTGTTTCCTAGCAAAATCATCGTCATAATACATCATGACATTTAAAACATGTATTTCATTTTAATATGGAATAACGTCATATTAAGGAATCTCATAATCTTACCTCTTATATCATCATCATCATTATCATCATCATATGACATTATAGAACATCATATTATATCATATGACATCATCAAATCATTCAACCATGTCATCATAGATCATACGTCATACCTCCTACATCATTATCATATAATATAGTCACAATAATATAAATATAAAGCATAAATGACACATATATGGGCCACTAAGCACGTGTCGTCATACATCAAACAAGTCTTCCAACCTATCCGATAGTAAAACGACTTACTTAGTTGACCTTAGCCCACATTTTTCAAAATACGAGTACGCTTGTCTTCCATTTCTTGTAGTTGTTCTAAGTATCGCCGTGAGTCATTTCCTATTAGAAATGTCATCTCGTCGTTAGTATTTCACCTTTCTAATCTAATTTAACTTGAATTTGAATTTGAGAAATATGACATTATATTGACCTTAATTAGGGACAAAATCAGCTGGAAAAGGGTAAAAAGCTGAAGGATCGGTGTCAAAATTGCCAACCTGAGCCGAATAAGCTATTTTTTTTAGCTGGGGACTTCGTGAAGCTGAGCCACTGGAGTCAAAGGAGTCGGCGTATGTATTAGTGACACGTGTCACTGAGGGGTGCGAGTTTGGGTTGCTGTCTCGGGCGCGCGGGCTACGGGTGTTTGGGCTGCAGGTGGTTCGGCCGCTGCGGATTTTGGGTCGAGGCGTTGAGGTAGTTGGTTACAGATATGGGTCGACGGTCAGGTTGCGAAGCTGGCCCAAATTATTGTTGAAGAATTGAAAAATCAGAATCCTTCTCCACCAAATTCCTCCATAGCTCTGCCGATCATGGATCTCCGATTTTCTTTTCTCCTCTTCCTTTTCTTGCAGGCTGTTTCCGGCCTCCTCCTCGCCGCTGCGTCCAACGTTGCCTACCCCTCCGTCGTCGATACTGGAGCCGGTGATTGCTCAGTTTCCGACGGCGGCGATGGCAGCCTCACTCCTATCCGTCGAGAAGTTTACGATAATGGACGAATCATCGACATCAGTCATCGGTTTACTGTAGATATGCCGTCTTGGGAATCTGACGAAGGGCTTGGCCAGTTTCTGTGGCTTCCGAAGAGCATGAAGAATGGTTCGCTTGCTAATAACTCTGAAATGAAGCTTCCGGCTCACACTGGCACGCACGTCGATGCACCTGGTCATGTTTTTGATCATTACTTTGATGCGGGATTCGATGTTGACACACTCGACTTGGGAGTCCTCAATGGTATTGATTCTCTACTAATCTTTGGTTTTCTTCGGTGTGGTTTTGTTGAACTTTTTGAATTTATGGCTTTGATTCCATGGATCTATTTTAAATGGAAGCCTGTTATTTAAGTTCTTACTCTTGCGGTTCGCTGATTAGTACTGAAAATTGTGGATATAATACGAAAACTATGTTTGCTGAAAACGCACTTTCTTAACTTAAGCACTAGTTGATTGTCTCATGTGCTTGATTCTTCAGGTCCTGGACTGTTGGTTGACGTTCCAAGGGATAAGAACATTACTGGTACGCCATTGCAAGCATCCTCCATTGCTTTTCTTGCTTGTTTTTTGTTTTTTTTTTTTTGGTATGTTTCTCACTAATTTAGCTTTACACGGTATCTCCAATGTCTGCAGATATGTATGTTCCCTAACTCTAACCCATCTCGTAGACCCTGTGGATATATTTTGCAATTTTTTCTAAATTACGTTCTATCTACCAAGTAATACATAATCCAAAAACAAGAAATGGATGAGTCTTGATATTTATTTGTAAGAAACGAACAATTCCTAAATGGGCGTTTAAACAATTTTTGGTTTTTTGTTGTTGCAGCTGAAGTCATGAAGTCTTTGAACATTCCCAAAGGAGTACGCCGTGTACTCTTCAGAACATTAAATACTGACAGGTAAAAAATTTGTGAACAGAACTTTCAGTTCGTCACTTGAAAACAAAAATAATAAAAAATGGAAGCCTTAAGCTGTTGATGAATTATGATATATCTTGTTTGGTAAAGTAATTGATACTTTTATTTGAAGGAATTTGTTCTTCGACGTTTTCATTTCATGGGCTTGTTATGTGGACATTGTTCTTTTGTTCGTATTTCGAGTATCCAAATATGTATTTCTGAACTTCCAATGTTATTGTCTAATTACCTATCCTTCTGCTTTGTAAGTTCTGATATTTGTTTTTATTTGTTTCACTATGAATCAATTTTGAACTCATAAAACCATGTTCATGTCATGTCTTTCTGATTTCTAATGTCTGAAAAGTATGACAGATCTGTTAAGGCAACAGATTCTTAATCCTTACTTTCACGGGTTTGCCTATTTACCAGTTTTTCTCATATAGACTGTTGCAGTATCCTGTCACTACATGCAATTTCGTTTAGTTCAAACTGGAAGGGTGGGGGGGAGGGGTGGGATCTACCAATATGTATCATAAACTGTACAGTCCAGATCATGTAATGAAGAAAATCTTCCAATCTTGAACAAAAAAAAAAAAAAAAAAAAAAACTTCACTTTGATCCATGCCAATGCAGAGGTCTCATGTGGAAAAAGGAGTTTGACACGAGCTATGTTGGATTTATGAAGGATGGAGCAAAATGGCTTGTAGACAACACTGATATCAAACTAGTTGGTGAGAGAACGGTTACTCCTGTTCATTTTGAAGTCAAATTCATATTTTTCTGAAAGTTCAATGATTCAACTAACGGCTCCTTCTATCATGCAGGAATTGACTACTTATCAGTTGCTGCCTTTGATGATCTTATTCCATCTCATCTCGAATTTTTAGAAGGCAGGGTAAGGATTTTTTTGTTCTTTTTTTTTTTTTTATCTGTACTAGAGACTATATGTAGTTGTTCTTGTTCGGGGATCTTTCTTTTCCAAACCAATTTCAAAGAGTCTTCGATTTCTTCTTTCTGACTGCTTGATTCAGAATTGGAATGCAAATTTTTTTTAGATAGTTTTTCATGTAAAAATTGAAGTATAATTACTCTGTAATGAATGTGTACATACAGATTAATTACCTAGAGTTTTACTCAAAGTTATGCTCTAGTGACTGCTGATAACAACTGCTTTTTCATCTTACGAGTCATCTTTTATCTAATACTTGCTATAATTGTGGAATTACATTGGTTTATAAACTCGAGAACGAGAAAAATCCTATTGTCTAGTCAAATATAGTATGTATCTCTTTCCCTTTGAAGTTAAAGTCAAAGATAGACAGGATGAATTGTCACTCCCACCCTGCCCCTATCACAAACTCGTTTGGGAAGCTTCTATACAATATCCATGTTCTTCCGAGACATCTTTTATAACCATCCAAGCCCTCCGTTAGCAGATATTTTCCTCTTTGGGCTATCTGATACCATTTGTAACAGCCCAAACCCACGGCTAGCATATATTTTCCTCTTTGAGTTTTCCCTTTCGGGCTTTCTCTCAGGGTTTTTAAAACACCTCTATTAGGGAGGGGTTTCTACACCCTCTCCAACCGATGTGGTATCTCACAATCCACCCAGTGTCCCAGCATCCTTGCTGACACTCGTTCTTTTCTTCAATCTATGTGGGATCTCATATCTTTTATTGTAGCCATTCTGCATTTGTCTTTCTATATCCTTGTCATCAGGTGTATAACATATTATCACTGGCAATTGCTCATAAACATTATGGCTTTCCTGCACATCCATGGCTTCCTTTTGAGATACTGAGTAGTGAACAAGACAAGATTAACACAAACACTAACACCATCTTTTGCTTCAGGAAACCATTCTTGTCGAAGGCTTAAAGCTTGATGGCGTCCAGCCGGGATTATATTCGATTCATTGCTTGCCTCTTAGGTTGCTTGGCGCCGAGGGGTCGCCAATCAGATGCATTCTAATCAAGTAGTAAGTGAGTTCTATTCTGTTGGAGTTCTGGTTAAGGGGGGGAGTAGGACTACAGTATTGTGCTATTTGATAGGCTTTAGTTGGATATTAATAACCCTTTTACCCTAAATATTGTATAGATTTAGGGGAAAAGCTTATAAACTCAGCACATGGGCAGGATTTTATGAGTTGAATTGTTGTTGGATTTGAACCACCATGTTACCTTGTCCATCTCGTTCGATTACAATTTTGTTTCGACGTTGCTGTAAGATAAATTTATCATATCATAATGTTAACTTTGTGTGGTTAAATAGTCCAAATGAGATTTCAAAAGGTAAAGATGTTGGTTTTTTTTTCAAATTTAATAATTAATTTCATTAGGGTAACGGTAGTTTAATTACATTCTTAAAATGGTAAATTGGTGTGGTAAATTTTAGCATTAAACCTAAAAAAAAAAAAAAAGTAAATTTCAATGATAGGTAAATAAATATAAAATTGTTATGATTAATTATGATGAATGAAATAAATATGTTATCAAATTTTGCATATTTTCTTTTTGTTGATTAGTTATGCATTTTAAATAATTGTTTAAAGTGCTGTATGCTTTCAATTCAATTTCTATTTGTTTTCTAAATTATTTGTAATGAGTTGTAATTCTTTTTTTAAGGAAAAAAAAAATTCATAATTTTTATGAAATATTTTTGTATTTACTAAGATGTTTTATACATTTTTAATAAAAAGTCTTTGAAAAGAATATTTAAAATATACATATATATATATATATATATATAAATCTCGACAAAAACTTGATCTCTACAAATTCTGTACTGAACAATTTTTTGGACTCCTAATGAAAAGAAATTCATTATGTCCGAAAATTTAAAGATTAAAACAAAATTGTCACTACAACATTTCATTTCTATATCTTAGATATTCATGATTATCTGTTAATATTTTTTTTCTTTATTTTTTAGAGTTGTTAGTAGTATATTTTATATTATTTTTGGGAGAGTCATATTTACTAGATTTACAAGATTTAGTTTGTTATTTATTTTCTTTGTTTTTAGGTACTAATTGATAATTTGTATCCTATTTAAACGCGGTAAAAATTAATTCTATTTTTCATTCTTCACCATTTCAAATATTAATAATACTACTCATTAATCTCTAGAAGATTTTTAAATATCAAAGATACTTTTGGGTCGAGTCTATTCACTGGCAGACCGGACCGGGACCGGGTCGGTCTTTCACCAACAGCCTTTTAGAAGGTCTCCACACTCGGAAACCCTCGGAAGTCGGAAGAGAGAGGCAGAAAGACAGAGAGAGGAGGGAGCCATGGAAGGGGCATCGTACCAGCGCTTTCCGAAGGTCAAGATCCGAGAGCTCAGAGATGACTATGCCAAATTCGAGCTCCACGACACTGATGTTAGCATGGCCAACGCCCTCCGTCGCGTCATGATCGCCGAGGTCCCCACCATCGCCATCGACCTGGTAGAAATTGAAGTGAACTCCTCAGTTCTCAACGATGAGTTCATCGCCCATCGCCTCGGTCTCATTCCCCTCACCAGCGAGCGTGCCATGTCTATGCGCTTCTCTCGCGACTGTGATGCTTGTGATGGTGATGGCCAGTGCGAGTTTTGCTCTGTCGAGTTTCACCTTCGTGCCAAGTGCCACTCTGACCAAACCCTAGACGTCTCCAGCAAGGATCTCTATAGTTCCGATCACACTGTTGTCCCTGTTGATTTCTCTGATTCTGCAGCAGCTGCTGGTGAAGCCCTTGATACCAAGTATTTCCTCTTACTCTCACGTGTCTCGACTCGTAGACATATTTGTTGATTCTATTTTCACAGCGAGATTCATTTGAGCTTTTAGCTGATTATTGCATGTAGTTGGGTAGACTTTTTCGTGGTCTGTACTTCAAAGTATGCAACGCCATCTGCTATTCGGTTTACAAATGGAGGGTAAATTTTTGGGTGAAAATACATCTTAGAGATGGTATATCACTTCTACTTTGGAGCTTGACCGCCGAAGTTATAATGCGTTCTTTCTTTGCTATGCAACATTCCTGCATTATTGTAAAATAACATTCTTTTCATTTTCTATTGGATGCTGTCATTTTCCTCTGCTTGTTGGTTCACTCACATGGTAGCAATTTCATCTTAGGCGGATAGTTGTGATAAAATGCTTGTGTTAGAACAGGTTTATGAGTTCATCTTCATGGTTCTGGATTTCGCTTGTATTTTTTTGTGCTTTGGTTTTTATGCTTCATGTTCTATGGTGAGCAAACATAAATGTTGGGACACCAATAATCTGTTTGACTGAATGCCAACGCATCTCACTACCTTAATGATGAATTTTCTTGCATTCTACCAAATTGCCTGTCTGAAATTTACATAAAAAAGGAAAAAAAAAAAAAAATTGTAATGTGCAAAATATCATTTTAATCTAGTATCATTGTGGTTGGTGAAATAATTGCTCCTCAATTTGAGCGGGTTTTGTGATAATTGTAGAGGAATAATCATTGTGAAGCTACGTCGGGGTCAAGAATTGAGGTTGAGAGCCATAGCCAGGAAGGGCATTGGTAAAGATCATGCAAAATGGTCGCCTGCAGCAACTGTGACCTTCATGTATGAACCAAGCATTCACATCAATGAAGACCTAATGGAGACATTAACACTAGAGGAAAAGACTTCCTGGGTTGAAAGTAGCCCAACCAAAGTCTTTGAATTGGATCCTGTTACCCACCAGGTTCTTCTCGCATAACCTCCATTTCTCTTTCTTTTTATTTGTTGCAATGGCTTTCTGAAATTTTCAAGCTGCCCTCTGTAATATTATGCAATTTCCCAGAGGGTTGTGTAGAAGAGCTGATCTGAACTGTATATTTCATCTCATATCACTTTCTGTTGTTCATGGTTTGTCATGCGGAGTTGGCATATTTGTAACTTTTTAGTATAAACTATAGTACTGTGCTGTTTCTATCGCTTCTTGTAAGTGGGAGAGCTAATATAAGAAGCAACAAAGGTATTAGCTTTGTGGTGGATTTGTGTAATGGCCTACTTTTCGAGGGACTCGAGGCATGAATTGCCACTAACTGGCGCAGAAATTAAAAACAACATAATAATTTGATTCAATTTTGAAAACATGTATGCATTAACTTTAAATCAAGATAAAACAGTACAAGTCCATAAAAAAGACATCAGGGACAGTTTACAAAATACAACATCAAAACATGTACATGAAAATCTTCAAGAGTTCGAAATTAAGACTCTATTCAACCTCTATAGCCCCATAGCTCGACACACCCTCACCTCGATCCCGCAACTTAGTTTCCATTTGACAAAAAAAGTAGAATGAGTGAGCATAAAAATATTCGGGAAGTAGCTTGCTTGTAGGCTCTTAGCTTGTTCTAAGTCTTATGTCATACACTTTCGTTAAGTTGTTCATGTGTCTTATTCCATACCTAGATGTCACATTTCTAAGTCATAGGCTCATCTAGGTTATGCTAGCTCACCCAAGCTCAACTTAGAGTTCTTGTTTGGTAATTTCGTGGCTTCTCATCATTCAGCACTATTAGAGCTCTTATTGATTCATCGGTTCTTGTAGTTTGGTTCCTCGAAGCTCAATCAATTCATTGGAAGCATCATAAGGTTCTAGGATAACCCAACTCTTTACTAGTTCCTTCATTCATAATCTACTTGCATATCATGCACACTTGAGGCACGACCTCATTATAGTTCTAACTCATAATCTCACCATACCGTTACAGACACTATCAATCGAGATTGATTCTCTATTAGGGGTTAGTTGGCGTCTCTATTGACATACATTTAACCCCTTGGGCCGGTGGGAAATCCCAGTTTAAATGGAGAACGAGGGAGGGAGTAGGGAGAGATTTTTTCCTATTAGATAAACGGGGCTGGAGACAGGGATTACATTCTGTAATTCTGTGACTTCAAAAAGAAATGCCTTGATCTTCTACATGTTTGAAAGCTTTTTATTTGTGTTCTATGTAAGTCTTGAGATGGCAACTCTGGTCCTTTATGATGTATACCTTCTTTGCATAACAAAATTCAAGTGTTTTTCCCCTTCTGTTTCTTTTAATTGGAAACAACATTTCAATGCAATGAAATATACAATAAGTAGCAGTGCTGACAAACTCATTGATTAAGAAAAACCTTCAGGTTAGCCAATAGATCCTCTAAACTGTAGTTAGAAAAAAGGTGCATTTACACCAAGTAAAGCAAGAACAAGAATTAAATTATAGAAGTATTTAAAAGAGACTTTTTTTTTTTGTTAGAAAGGCTGCTTATTCCTTTCTAACCAAAAAAAAAAAAAAAAAAAAAAAAAAAAAAAAAAAAAAAACCCA